CCAGGAGGGGAGATGCATGTCGAAAGTAGACTATGGACTGAACATGTTTGCCACTCAATGCCTCTTTTGCAGACCACAACACCCAAAAGGAGAGAGAGAGAGAACACAGGGGATTGCCCTGCCACAGAGACGGGGGGATGGGGGGATGGGGGTGGGAGGGATATTATCCATGGTGGTGGAAAATGGGCACTGGTGGAGGGATGGGTATCTGATCATTGTATAATTGAAACCAAAGCACAAAAAATTGTAAATCTACAACTTTAAAAAAAATAAAATAAAATAAAGGGAAAAAAAAAAAAAACTTAAGCTGCTTAAGACACATATATAAGACCTTAGAAAATGAAAAAATATTCCAAGCTTATGTATTGGAAGAATTAATATTATCAAAATGAACATCCTACCTAAATTAATATATAGATTCAACACAATATCCATCCAGAGTCAAACATCTTCAAGGACTTAAAATAGTAAAAAAGTTTGTATAAAATAATAAAACACCCCAAATAGCTAAAGCCATACTGAGAAATAAGAAACTGGAAGGTAGTGCATTACCTAATTTGAAACTATGCTATAAAGCTACAGTCATCAAAAAACATGGTATTAAAATAAGGATAAACTCTTTGTCCAATGGGTCAAAATCAAATTAACCAAAGACAAGTCCCTATAACCCTGGTCAATTAATTTTCAATGAAGGGGCAAGGAATATAAAATAGAGTAAATATAGCCTCTTCAAAAAATGGTGCTGGGAAATCTAGATAACCCTGTGTAAAAAATTAAGGCTGGATCTATATCTTACACCTTACAAAAAAGTCAAGTAAGGGGATGGAGCAATAGCACAGCAGGTAGGGCGTTTGCCTTGCACGTGGCCGACCCGGGTTCGATTCCCAGCATCCTATATGGTCCCCTGAGCACCACCAGGGGTAATTCCTGAGTACAGAGCCAGGAGTAACCCCTGTGCATTGCCGGGTGTGACCCAAAAAAAGCAAAAAAAAAAAAAAAAGTCAATTCACAGAGGATCAAACAAGGCCGAAGCAATACTACAGTGGGTAGGGCACTTGCCTTGCAAGTGACCAACCCACCCAGGTTCAATCCCCAGTGTGCCATATAGTCCACTTGAGCACTGCCAGTTAACTCCTGAAAGCAGAGCCAGGAGTAATGTCTGAGCATTGCCAGGTGTGGCCCAAAACCAACAATAAAAACAAACAAAAAAACCTAAAACAAAGTGGATGAAAGGCCTTGAGATCAAACCAGAATCTATAAAGTACAATGAAGAGAACATAGGTTAACCACTCTAAAATTTGGACATCAAAGGTATCTTCAATAATATGATGCAATTGGCAAAAGGAAATCAAGTCAAAAATAAACAAATGAAACTTCATAAAATTAAAAGAGTCTCTGCATGGCAAAAGAAACAAGGGCTAAATCTAAAAGAAACCTAACTTAAAGGGAGAAAATATTCTCAACACATTAGATAAAGGGGTTAATATCCAGAATACATAAAGTGCTCATAGAGAGCAACAACAAAACCCAAAAACCTTACAAAAAAAAAAAGAAAGCAGAAAGGAACAGACACTTCTCTTGAAGAAGACAGACCGAGGGCCAAAAGGCACACGAAAAAGTGATCATTATCACTCATTATTGGGAAAATTCACATTAAGATGACATAGACACAGGCTGAGCAGGGGGGTGACCAGAGGGAAAGTGGGGATATTGGTGGTGGGAAATGTATACTGGTGAAGAGACAGGTGTTAGTTAGAATACTGTGTGATTGGAACATAATCATGAACAACTTTGCAACCCTATTTCATGGTGATTCAATAAAAATAAATGAATGAATTTTTTTTAAAGATGACAATGAGAGATCATATTCTTGTGTTGATGAGGATGTGATGAAAAAGGAACTCTCATCCACTGAAGGGGTCATGTTGTCTGATTCAACCCCTGTTGAATGGAAAATAGTATGGATAGTTCTCAATAAAGGAAGAACTGAGCTACCATCTGGCTCAGCAATTCCACTTCTGGTTATGTAGTCTCAGGACACAAAACATTCATTCTAAAAGGACAGATTCACACTGTTATTCATTGTAGCACTTAGCACAATAGCTAAGATACGAAATCAATCTGGGTGTCCGATGACAGACGAATGGATTATGAATGTCTACATATACATTATATATATATGGGCTGGAGCAATAGCACAGCAGGTAGGGCACTTGCCTTGCACGCAGTCAGTTCAGGCTGATCCAGGCCGACCCGGTTCGATTTCTCCACCCCTTTCGGAAAGCCCAGCAAGCTACTGAGAGTATCACGCCCGCACAGCAAAGCCTGGCAAACTACCCATGACATATTCGATATGCCAAAAACAGTAACAAGTCTCACAATGGAGACATTACTGGTGCCCACTCAAGCAAATCGATGAACAGTGGGAAGATAGTGCTATACAGTGCAGTGCTATATATTATACATAGGATATTTAAATATATTACACAATGGAATACTAGGCAGCTGCAAGGAATGATGAAATCATACAACTCACTGCAACTTAGATGGAATTGGAAAATAACATGTTAAATGAAGTAAGTTAGAAGGACCTGTGTCTCACTTATCTGTAGTATACAGAATAACTGGATGTGGGAATACAAGATATTAAAGGGGGATACCTAGATCACCCTTGACTTCTGAGTATAAGAAGGACAAGGAAGGAGAAAAATCAATGGGGGGCAAGCTCCCTGTGGCGTATTCAATATGCCAAAAACAGTAATAAGTCTCACAATGAAACGTTAGTGGTGCCCGCTTGAGCAAATGGATGAACAATGGGAGGACAGACAATGCTACAGTGGAGGGATTGGTGCTGGAAAGTTGCATGACTAAAACTCGACTATAAATAACTTTGTAAATCACAGTGCCTTAAAAATTATTTTAAAAAATTAAGAATAAAAGTGACTATTAAATCACTGTAGGTTCTTGAGCTCAAAAAGGATAATAAAAGTTTTCTCTTAAAGCTGTAACACAACTGTCATGCAACCTTAACTTCAGAGTTAAATTTGTATCATCCCAATAAGAACTCCTACAGAACTCCTACAGGGGCCTATAAGTCTAAGTGATTAAGCCAAGTATATTAGTGAAGCCTCTGGTTCTGTCTAGTTTTAACAAATAAAAACAAACAAAATACCCCAGAGAAACACCACTGATGTGAACGTTTTTAGGGTTTACTGTCCAAGCTTTCTCTGGCTCTCAAGTTGTTCTATACCCAGCCTTCTTGGCCCATGAAGAACTTTTCCTTTCCATAAATAAAATCATCAGCCCAATCTCTATAACTCTTTGTTGTTGTTAGGATTCTGATTATGTTTATGATTCAAACATACCCTCTGTATCCAAACACATCTGGAGGCTTCAACCAAGCCCAGACTCAAGCAGTCTACTGATATAAACTTTACCCTACTTATTTTTCTAAGTAGCTGTGTATCTTTCTCAGCAATGTATATCCACTACAAAATGTTATCAAGTTAGAAGTCACAGAGCAGAACGTTATACCCAATTGGATTCTCCCACAGGATAACAAAATCCCAGTTAACTTTATTCTAAAAAGGGAGAAATTGAAGGAGAGAAGCAAGAAAAAGGGGAATAATTTTGAAACCTTCTTTATCCAAATGAATCCTTTAGAATTGGTATGCTTTCTAAAATAATTCAGAAAATAAAAACAGAACTATTTCCATTACTTTCCTCAATTAAAATATCAGTAATAACAAAATATAAATCTGCAAGTTGCTATACTTTAACTTGCATTTCTCATTACTCAACATTTCTTTTTTCTTGGTTAAGGTTTCCTTTTCTCTGTTTCCTCTTTTTCTATATTTGACCCTTGACCTTTCAGAAAGAAAAAGCTTCTACCTGGGGTAGAATACAAAATGCAGCTCAATATTAGAGAACTAACTACACAGGATGTTTCGCAATCCTGAAATACACAAGCCTTAGTTTTTGTCACTCATTAGTATGAAGGCCACCCCCCATATTGTAATGCTTTTTGACTATGAAATGATTTATTCAAAGTGAATCTGTCGCAAAAAGTTCCTGAATAAAGGAGCAAACTGGTGAATGTCTCAACAATCTTGAAAATAGGACATTCAAGCCACAACCAGTATTTTTAACCCCAGTAAGAAACAATTTGCAATTCTACTGGGGGGGGGGAGGGTAAGAGGAGTGAGGGGTACAGACTGGGGTTAACTGTGGAGTCTGCCCTAAATTCAATACCAAGAGAAAGTTCTGGTCCCCTAATGAAGTAATCCCCACGTGGGCACGTTAGATTTGACTTTCTTGTACAAAGGTAGCTATGCCTGTCCCTCTTCCAAGATGTATATCATTCTGCCACAATCAAAGTATGTTTCTATAAATCAGTTTCCCACACGCCTCCCACCCATGATTTTCACATAAGTGGGCAGGCTACCCGGGAGAGAACTGGCCATAAATATTAGGCCATGCCTACTAGTACTTCATAAATCTGAAACCCCTTGGAGTTAAGCGGGCCGTGGCCGCCGAGATCGGGAGTCCTTTCAAAGCCTTTGTCTCAAGGTTAGCAGGACAAAGCCCTGCCAGCCGCGTGCAGGCTCTGAGCACGCGGCAGGAACGAGCCAGGCTCCCGGGTGCGAGCCGCGCCGTCGTCGGCGGGGAGTGCGGGTCAGCCCGCACGCAGGGCGCGCGGAGCCGGACCGAGGGTGGGAGCGCACGACGGCGGGGGGGGCGGGCTGGGAGGAGGCTGGGGGCTGGGGAGGGGGTGCGCCTCTCTAGCCCGCCCGCCCCCTTGCGCGGCTCCAGCGCCCCCAGGCCACCACCGGGCCTGGATTTCCGCGGCGGGAGCTGGGCTTCCCCGCCTTTTGTTCCAGGCTGGGCTTTCTCTCCCGCCCCGCCGCCCCCCTCCGCGCCGCCCAGCCCCCGAGCAGGGTGAGGACCGTGCGGGAAGCAGAGGCGGCGGCAGGCGGCCAGCAAAGAGTGGGAATACTCACCCCACTCCGCTCGGCCCCACACCCCGCCGCACGGCCCCGTGAGGGCGGAGCGACGGGGAGCGGAGGGGGGGGGGGGAGGGGAGCGGGGAGAGAAGGCTGCGACAGGGCCGGGCCGCCACCCCCGACCGCGGCCCCGGGGCGGAGTGCGGGGCCCCGCGGCGCGGCTGAGGGGCGGTGGCGCGGCTGACGGGCGGGGTCTAGAGGAGGAGGGGTGGGGCCTGGGAGAGGGGCGGGGCCAGTGCCGGAGGGGCGGGGCTCGGCGGTGGAGGGGCGGAGCTCATCCCTGGCAGGGGCTCCGCCCCCTGGCGGCCCTACGCTCCGGCCCGGAGCATGCGCACTGCGCCGCCCGCGCTCCCGCGCTTCGAGCTCGCGCCTGCTGCTGACGTCGTGGGTCGCGGGCGCGCGCGGGATCCGCACCGGGCCGGGCGGGGCGTGACCTACCCCGCACCCAGCGGCGAAGGCGGCCGAGGCCCCGCCCCTTCCCTCCCGGGCCGGGAGAACCCGAGGGCGGCTTTGCTCGCCCGTGCTCCTGGCACAAAGGAGCCGGGTGCGGAGAGCAAATGAGAACGCGGGTCCCAAGGTGCCGGCGGTTTCTAAGGTTCTCTGCATATCCTCCGCCCGCCTCCAACAAAGAGGCAAATAATCTGGAAAATAAGAGGGTGCCCAGTGGTGAAAGGGCGGCGCAAAAGGACAGGCTGTGGCGTACCTCCAGAGCATCCCTCCACAGCACCATCAAGCGCGCCTGCACGACTAGCCCCTTTAATGCTTCAGAACCAGGAGGGAAGGAAAAGTGAAGACTTTGAGAGCTGACAGTAGTGCCATCTGTGGTTTATATCTCAGGAAAACAAAATCAAACCGCAGAATTAAGCGGGGGGAACGGTGGGCTAAAGAAAAGAAGAGAGATTTCAGAGTGTGGGGGGGATTGAACTGAAATACCGAAAATGCAACAGTAGACATCTGAGGGAAAACTAGCATCTGCTCCTCTTAACACAACAGAATTCAATTTGTGTAAAAAGAAAGGAGTAAACACGGGTGAAGAAGCGAAAGGAAAACCTGGCTTCCAATAAATATATAGGGCATGGTTTTGATCTTGTGACAGTTACGTAAGATGTCACCATTGGAGAAAGCCAGGTGATAAGTACAGGAGACTATGTTTGTGATTGCCTGTTCTGTAACTATTTCAAAACAAAACGGTCTTTTAAAGGGACAAGCGTGATGACCAGGGGCCCGAGCATTAGTACAGTGGGCTGGGAACTTGCCTTGCATGTAGTTTGATCCCCTATGGTCCCTCAAGTCCCACCATGAGTGACCCTGAGCGCAGAGCCGGGACTAAGGCCCTGAGGACAGCTAGGTGTGTCCCCCCACCCCAATAAAAACGTGATGGCCAGCAGAGGCAGTAGATTTAAAAGGGTCCCGAGGAGCCAGAGAGAGCACAGCGTGTAGGGCAATGGCTTTGCACACAGCTGGCCCCCGGTTTGAGTACTGCAGAGGGTCCCCAGAGCCCCACCAGGAGTGATCCCTGAGCTCTGAGCCAGGAGAGAGCAAAAGAAATGCTAAAAAAGCAGGATGGAGGGAAATGGGAAGAGGAGAGAAGAGAGCTATTCAATAGCTCATTGAGTCAAAGATTACACCTCTGTTTTGTCAAAACTCCTAACAAGATAGATTTTACTGCATATGAACCGGCTTAAAACTCCGTTTTTAACAAAGCTACTGCTAATAAGGATGAATTTCCACTACTGTGTTTATCCAAATACAGATGTAAAGATATTGGAGAGCTGCCAATTAAAAAATATCCTTTTGATTTTCTTAAAAGGACGGGCAAGTTCTGAGCAGTTTCATACAAACTCCCTCAGCTTGAAATGGTTACCTTAAAAAATGGAGAGTTTGGAGGGGGGTGCAGAGACCTAGCACAGGAGTAACATGAAGAGGATTGAGGAGGATCTCCAGCAATGCATGCACCAGCCCACAGCAGTGTTCTGTGTGGCTCTGGAGAAACCCCGCATTTTCTGTCAGGTCCTGAGGTGCCCTGGTAATCCCCAGCAGTGCTGGGCTCCCAGCAGCATTAAATCATAAGTCTCTAGCACTGACCAAGGCTCAGTTGGTAATCAGTATCTGTGCCAGGGAGAGCACTGACTAGAAGCTTCTCCACCCCTAACAAGCCCCCGCCAAAAAACCTTTTCCTATAAGGATAAGAATGAGGGGCTGGAGTGATAGAATAGCAGGTGGAGCAGTTGTCTTGCAAGCGGCAGACCCGGGTTCAATTCCCAGCACCCCTTATGCCCCCCCCCCCCAGCACCTCTAGGAGTAATTCCTAAGAACATGAGCCAGGAGTAACCCCTGAGCATGGCTGGGTGTGACCCAAAAAGCAAACAAAAGAAAAAAGAATGCATTTCAAAGGCCAGAGAGATAGCTCAAAAGTTAGAGAGGGCAATCTGGTATGCATGAGATATCAGTTTAATCAGTTTAATCCCTGATACCACATACCCTCACCCAGCACTACAGGGTGTGGCCCTAATGATCCCCAGCCTTGGGGAGGGAGGCCTTCTCAAAAATGCTTCATTTGAGGGGGGAAGAAATAGTTCAGTGTTGAGCACCTGCTTTGCCTGCTGGAAACCCAGGTTAATTCCTGACACCCTACGTGCGGTTCCCCCAAACACCTTGGGGAGAATCCAAAGCACAAAGCTGGGAGTAACCCCATACCTTGGCGGAAAAATAAAAAATGCATTGCTTTAAATCATATTTTGCATTTCAGAATTTCTTGCCATGCACCAAAACAAACAAACAAAAACATGATAACTTTAAAAAATTAGACTAGAGGAGACATAAATACAGTGGTGGAGGGTCTTGGGCACTTGGGTGGTGGTGAAGGTGCAGTCACTTCGTACATCAAAACTACAAAAGTTGTAATTTGTAATCATGCTATTGTAATCATGCAAATTAACCTACAATTTTAAAAATTATTCTCTGCATTTGAGAAGATTTTAACTTTTATAATTCACTCACCGAAACCAAAGAAACCAGAAGAAATGAATCAGGTAACATCTGTGAACTTCCATCCTATCACCCATGGCAAAAAATGGCCCTGGACCTCAAACACTGCTGACAACTTGGTAGGTTTGTCAGCACTGAATGCTCACCATCTAGCAGAGGTACTCCTTGGAACAAGTATTTGTTGACTGAATGAAACAGAAGAAAGGAAGATTCTTACTAAAAGCCAGAATCTCTTTATAATGTAGTTTTATAAGTAGAGAGAGAGTATAGGGGAAATTGTCTGCCATAGAGGAAGGAGGAAGGATGGGATGGGGTGGGGGGGGATACCGGGGACATTGGTGGTGGAAAATGTGCACTGGTGGGGGGATGGGTATTCGATCATTGTATGACTGAAACTCAAATATGAAAGCTTTGTACCTCTATCTCATGGTGATTCAATAACAAAATTTTTTAAAATAATGTAGTTTTATAATCTGATAGGCACATGAGATAGTGTCCTGTTCGCTCCTTTGGAGGCTGCACTCAGCAATTCTCAGCTTCTGACTCCTTGTTTGGGTGTCACTCCTGGTGGTGCTCAGGGGACCATGTGGTGATAGGGATAAACCCAGGCCTCATGCAAGGCGTGTGCTCTAGCCCCTGGGATCCCATCTTAGATATGATGACTGAAACTCAGGGTACTGATTTACTAATCATTCAATTTCCTATTTTATTTTATTTCTGTCTCCTTTGGACATATTGATCTCTTCTAAAAAGTCCTGATTCTCCTTCCACTTCCCTAACCAGCCTTTTATTCTTCCTCAGAGACTTGTTTGCCTAGAACACACTGTATATCCTTGTTTCCCACAGGCTCTCATAGACATTAAGTCTTTGACTTTTTTAAAAAAATATATGTGAAATGGGGGACAGAAGGTGGTGGGGAGTGAGTAAGGAATTCAAAATACAAACACACAAACTGTTTTACAATATTTTCCTTTATGTAAGTCGCTACTTTTATCACCAACAATTGTCATGCAGCTTAATTGTGTCTTGTTCAGATGATCATGGGACATATTGATTCTACATGCCTTTAGATAGAGTGGAACATGAGTGGTCAATGAAGAGACATAACTTTCAAGTTATATAGTAAATGTGTTGTGTTTTGCTCTTGTCAGTTGATATTACTCGAGTGTATTCTTTCTGCTTATATCCAAACTGTTCACATTCAATAATCAAAGGAGAGGAGTCCAGGAAGATAGCTCATCATTTAGGGATGCATGTTTTGCATGTACTAGGCCCTTAGTTCAATCCCCAATACCTCGTGTCTCCTGAATGTGACCATGTACCGCCCTGGCAGCCCCAGCACTGCTGGTCCTTAAAGGTGCCAAATTCAGGGGCCTAGAACTAAACTATATGCTTCTGTTGGTCAAGCATTGCTCAAGAGTAACCCTCAGACCCACTTAACCTTGGTTGGGAGAAACTCTCCCAACTAAAAAAGAATAATGGAAATTAGAAAACTATTTAGCTAGATTATTCAAGCTGTCGGTCATGTTACTTCTTATTGGTACTGTTTGCATACCTGTATTAGCATTGCACTGTCCTCCTATTGTTCATCGATCTGCTCGAGAGGGCTCCAGTAACATCTCCATTGTGAGACTTGTTGTTACTGTTTTTGGCATATCGAAAACACCATGGGGCTTATACCTGTATTACATATATATTTTTGTGAACTTTTTAAATAATCAACATTTTGCGGATATAATTAAGTGCTCTCATTTCCCCTATAATTCAAATTTTTTTTTTTGCTTTTTTTGGGTCACACCTGGCGATGCTCAGGGGTTACTCCTAGCTGTGCACTCAGGACTTACTCCTGGTGGTGCTCAGGGGACCATATGGGATACTGGGAATTGAACCTGGGTCAGCTGTGTGCAAGGCAAACGCCCTGCCCGCTATGCTATTGCTCCAGCCCCTAATTCAATATATTTTTATAAAAATATACACCATGTATCCATTACAACAATCAAAATAGAGAAATTTCCATGGCACGCCATACTGATCATATATCCCTTTAAATTCA